TCTACTTGTCGTCTCGAAGACTGACTTATCAACGAAGAATAAATACAGTGTTTTGACTAGAAAATGATCGAAAGGAGAATCGTAGGTTTAAGAAAGCCTATATTTAGTGGTGTCAACAAGCGTTTCACAACCTGTCAAGCCTAACGAACAGACCCCAATTGAGATTTGCTGAATCTGTAACCTTTTTCAATGATTTTTTCACATTCCTAGGGGTCCGGTAGACATGACGATTGAGTGTTTGCTCAGCGCTACAATCCGGGAATCTCGAGGAAGACAGTAACCTACCAGCAAAAGAGCGGAAGCAATTCAGGACGGCGAATTTCAGTATTTCAGTCCGACAATGTGAAGAAAATTTGGTTACTTTGAAGTGTAACTGTCTTGACCTGGCTCGAACTCGTTTAGGGGTTCAGTCGAGTATTCAGACGAACCATCAAGAAGGCGCTTTGCACCGAATCCCAAGCCAGTTTAGTCGTAGCCGTGAGGTCCAAGTTGGAGTGACATTTGTTTCGTTTGCGGTCCATTTTCACTCGAAACACTTGGTTGCACTTCATTTTATCAACTCTGTCTGGCTTTCAGAAACTCCAAAGAAGGTAATTCAGCCTGCGTCTCGTGTCACTGTTGTCCGGTTGTCTTTCAGCGGCCTAACGCCAACTGGACACTCACTCCCAGACGCCTCCCGCCTCCGAGTTGGCACCGCATGTGAATATCGCCAGTCCTGGCAACCCTTCAGGAGAATTGTAGTCAAGGAGATTGGCTCAATTGTTATCTTGATGAGTTGCAACTCTGGATCAAGGATGACACTATTCATCAATAAGACTGAATTGAGCACCCGTGCTACGTCTGAAAATGTACTCAATTGCCAGTTTGATGCATGGATAGCACAAGACCAAAATGGCAGAGAATGTCGTGCAGCGCCAAGGCGGCATTGCGTTTTCTACTTCTCACATCTTGACGTCCACAGGTCGAAATGCATTTCAGCTGCTGACGCTATGAGGTGAGGTCAAAGCCTCAAGTTAGACTAACCGAAAACAGCCTATTCGAGTGC